CCATTACTTACGGACCACCCTGTATAGTGAACAAACATAAAGACATTAAATATACTGTATTATGCTTTTGTTCGATCCACATTGAATTATGGTACATTGATTTGGTCAACCATTTATAAATTGATGGTATCTAAAATTTTTAACCCATAAGGAAGATCACCAATATCTTCCTAGAGAATATTGTTGATAAATGATAGAAGGAAAATTAATACTATTAAGTTGTTATAATCTTCTACACATTATACTGATTGTTCGTGCTTGCTTTAAAATATGAACGGGTTAGTCCCTCGTATAGAATCTTACTAATCTGATGCGTTGATCATATATGTCATAATTTTAATAATCTTTGGGATACTACAATATGTGAACTTCATAACGATATAACTATTTTTAATTCAATTATATATAATTTTAATATGGTTGATTTTTTTTCTATATTTAAATATTTTTGTATATATCTCAATTATATCACTGCACTTGGACCTATTATATATTCTTGTTTCTCATAATTCAGAATAATCTGTTGGAAATAAACTGTATTATTATTACTACTGTCATCTTGACAAGTACAAACTGCAAGTAAGGAATTAGACAACCAATCCGTATCCACCAATATTAAATTAAGAACACTCTAATTCAAAATTTTACACCTTTCAGGTCTCTCAAGCTCGCGAAGCAAATTAAAAGGCAGAAGAAATTGTTACAGTATTTATAATAGGAGGCAACATTATCTAAACTTAATCAGATCTGGTTTTTTATCTTCCATCTCATTATCTCATTATTTAGTTAATATACTGACCCACCTCTACTTTTAAACAAAATGACTTGACAAAACTGAAACAAGCCAGGCAACAAGTAATTCGATCCCGCGAGGCGTAGTTCGATTAGACTCGATATAGCCAGTGTTTCTAAGAAACTGATATAAAATATTAACATAGCTACTATTATGTAATACATTTGAAGATGAAATGGGAATATCTTTACTACAGTAGGTATAGTACCTAATCTGTGTTCCCACAAATCAAAACGATAATGAATGGCAGAATAAACAAGATCACAATCTCAAGTTACTAATGACCATTAATTTTATCTAACAATGATTTGTGTCTTGTTAATTTGCTATACGATTTTAGATAATACTGCAAAGATCGTCATCTGGTTGGTACATTTAGGAATTACTCATTCTGCTTATTCTGCATCTACAAATATTTTAATAGTAACTTCTACAAATACTATAACTTGTGTTTTTTATATTCCACTTCCACGAAAAAAGTATACCAGACATTGTTCTTCTTTTACGACTTCTACTTCTTACATCCTTTTAATAAAAATTTCGATTTTACTCAAAACTGATGTTTTGGCAGCAATTCGTTTACTTATTAATATCAATCAAGTGTTAGATTTGTTGATAGAAAAAAAACATTACAATCCACCACATTGTTTGAAATAATTTGCTTTCTTTTGATGATTAAGTACTGCGTTTTCTCAATTTGACAAGACGCTACAATAATTAGCTATTTATAGGTCTCTTGAATAGAAACCTTTTCATATGCATTAAATATACACACTTGCCTATATAGTCCGTGAAAGTGATGTGTTTATTTTTATAGCCGAGGGAGAGAGACGGAGTCTAGACAAATTATTTACAGCGGCTTGCGTTTTGGCCATTGACTTCTAACAATGAATTTTTCCTTGTTATTATTTGTCCGTCAAACTAGATTAACACATAAATTATAGATACGGCCGCTTGGTGGGGGGTAAAATACCTCAGCGTAAATTATGATATTTTCGATAAGCGCTTCGAAATAACCACAGTTTTATACAGAGTGTAAAGAATAGTGTAGCAAACATTAAATGTCCTCACTCATCAAAAAGTTAATCTAATCAAAATAAATTTGCAAGTATAGAAGATGTGAAAACCATCAACGCGGAAAAAGAAGAAGAAGAAGAAGAACCACTAATGATGATTGAAGGATGGACCTCATAATAAAAGAGAGTTCTTGAATGGAGACAATTTCAAATATGAGATCTGACCTTCAATTGCACTTCCATAAGACTTTCAAGACTCGAAGAATAATGGAAGTCTATATACAAATGTACTGGCAAAATAGAGCTGGTTTTCAAAGCAGACAGTAGAATATCTGCTGGAGTAGTAAAACTGAAGTCTAGGTAGCAGAGAAGATATAGACTAAGAGGCTGCTCTACAAGATTCCAGTCAGAACTTTTTATACAAGTGCTTGATTGATGGAAAAAAAGCTGCACACGTAGTGAAATTACTAAATAAACAACGAATACCAACATGCTTAGGTTATGTTTGGTGATAAACCATTGAAGAAAATGGAAAAGCAGATGATCTGGACCAAAAATCAGCATATGGCATTCCTTACACTGTGACTGAGACGGCCTTTAGCGGAATGCTGGAGACTCAAGACCAGGGAAATATTGACTATTCCTTATAACGAATAATATGCTGGGTATAAGTAACATCAAGCTTAGAAAAATCGCAAGATTGCTGGTTAAAGAAGCATCTTTAGAATATGAAATTGGTAGAGAAGTCAGTTTATTAAGATTTCAGACCAGAATTGTCTGCAGAACTTTCTGTAGAACCGACCTACTAGATAAGAAAGGAAAAAAAGAACAGTATTCAGATTATTGGCCCATTGAGAGTGATAAATTCATGCTGCATATTACTGACCACTCCTAGAAATCGTTGAGGTTGATTATGGAAGTGAAAGAGTTTGCTAATCAATCCGAAATATTTTAATAAGTGACAAGAGTCCCATATCTTAATTTAAACGATTATTTAGTTATTTTGAATATAGCGAAAAAAATACCAGCGACCAAATCCAACGTAATTATAGTGGCCATAGGAGAAACAAAACAACGGCGTTTACGTGGCCAATTTGCGACGATGATGGCGGTAATTTTTCCAGGTGCGCTTATTAATTTCTCGCGTTTTTGCTTACTAGACGATTGTAGCAAACACCACGGCTCGCAAACCATGAAATTAAAGGTGCGCAACGCACACGTTGTAATTTCCCCATTGCAGCACGTCGTTAGGTTAAAGAAATTTAATTTGCAATGTAATTATCCGCACTGCTCTGCATTAACGATAGGGCCGCATGTAAATCGGTTCTTAAAGAATTCTTCACTCATGTGAGCCGTTTTGTTCTGCTTATCTACATTTCATCGGCGTTTGTTAGTTTATGCAGAAGCAATTTTATTGTTAGTTGGCTGTGAAGAGGTTAAGGCTGACTTTATTTTCTTAACGCAATGTATAGGTGTAGAAGAGGGTTAGTTTTTGAGATCTTATCTGCTATTAACCCTTAAGCTAGATTGTAAAGAAAGAGTAAGGCAGAATCAAGACTAAAGATTTCTTCTTCAGAAGAGACTAAAATTAGAAATAAATCTACAAGAGAAGCAGACTATTAGCATTTCAAATCTTATCTAGTATGTTATTCTGAACTGTCTTCTATGAAGAGGTAAGACAGGACCAAGGCCAAACATATTTTCGCCAGAAGACAGTCAAATTTGAAACGAATCTACAAGGATTGAGCATTATTAGCTTTCAAATGTATGAATACGACAGTCTGGACCAGCTTCTGATAAAAGCGTAACACTGAACCAAGAGCATAAATATCTTCTTCGTAAGAAGAAGTAAAATTGGATAAGATGCTAAGACTATTGCACTTTTAAAAAATTATCGAGTATAACAGTTTTGAACTAGCTTCTAATAAAGACATAAGACAGTACCAAGATCAAAGATATCATATTCAGAAGATAGTAAAATTTGAAGTGGATCTACAAGAAAAGAGGATTATTAGCTTATCAAATATTATCAAGTATGCAGGTTTGGAACTAGCTTCTGATGGCAGTGCCAGGAGCAAATATCTTTCCTTCAGAAGAGAGTATGGGCCTTGAAAAGCTGCTAAATCTTCTTCGCAACACGTTAAAACTGGATAAAATGAGAATATTATTGACTTTTGACATATTATCTAGTGTGGCAATTTCGAACTGGCTTCATGTAGACTTAAGGCAATACCAAAGTCAAATATATCTTCATCAGAAGACAATAAAATTTAAGATGAATTTACAAGACAGGATTGAAAGCTTTTCAAATATTATCTGGTACAACAGTCTTGGGCTAGCTTCTGATGGACGAGCAAGGCAAAACCAAAAGTAAAGGTAATCTAGAAATGAACTATAAAAAGACAAGGTTGTTGGCTTTTGTAATTTATGACAGTATTCAACTAGCTTCTGATGAAAGTGGAAGACAAAGCCAAAGATATCATGTTCAAAAGGAATTGAAGAAGAGACGATAAGGTATCTTTAGAAAAACGGAACAAATGCAAGAAAGAAGATAAATAAATCTATAAGGAACAATAAAAATCCGAAAGCACTAGAAAATGAAGGTGTAGGATGACCAAAACTTAGAAGACCATTGATTAATGTGATTTGTACGGTAAATGTGGCATCCAATATGATGTTTCAGCAAAATACTTGTGTTAAGAGTTAATTTTAAACACACATCTCAAGAATGTGTTACATTCGTAGCAGTAACCATGACTATGTAAAAATGTATCTCCAATATTACCGTTTTACCAATTCCCGTTTTTAGATATTTATTTTATATTTGAACTATTTATAAAATATTGATTTTATATTTGATTTCAATTTAGTTTTGTTTCTGAATTGGATGAAAAAACTTGTTAGATTCGCATTCTTATGGACGTGATAATGTGAAAATTTAATATATTAGTATTCCTGAAAAAACACTAACACTATTAATTCTACAACGCGTTTACTATCCTACAAACACAAATACTTTCACTGCAACAAAAACTTAAATCTATCCGCTCTTCCACTCTCCTCCGCTATCCAACAAAGGCCCCAATTAGAAATTTAATAGGCTGCATTAAGCCAGAAAAATTAATTAAAAGTAATCATCATCAACGAGCGGAGCAAATTGGAAGAGGGGAGGGCAATGCTATTAAAAACTTACTCTGGATTCAAGAAGTCATAGACATGTAAAGATCGTTTTATCTGCAAAAGAAAACAGAACGGCATAAGCACTAAACCCCAAGGGACAAATTAAACTAAGCTACAAGAAAATCAATTAAGACAGTAATTAATTCCTCGTAAACGCTCATACAAAAACTAATTTCATTGCAGAGCACAAAACATAATTAAATGTTTTGTTTTTACAATAAAAATCTTTCCTCGGGGCTTTCCTGTCTGTAATTGATTCTGTTCTTTTTTTTCCTGAAACAATCAGACAATTTAACGCCACTACTGCTTATTATGCACTCCGGTGTGTACCCAAACAGACGCCTTTATTTCTGCGGTCTGCTGGCCTCTCGGGACCATTTGACGATATCTGAAATAATGTCCGTCATGCTCCATTTTTTTTTCTCGTTCAACTCGTTTAGTTCGTTGCCAAGGTGGCAAACGTTTAGGTAAGCTCTTATAGAAAATGTTGTGACGTCACTTTAAGTCTCCCGGCGCGTTTGAAATATGCAACAAACTGCCAACTTTATTATTTATAACATAATGCAAATTAGCAATGTTTTGAAGAATTTTAAAAATTTACTAACTGGAATTATAACAACCATTATAAATTAGTAAACGATACAAAATGTAAATCGGACTTCAAAACAAAAGAAGGATATAAGAAGATGCATCAACGAATTAGCGAGTTTGACAAGTCATTTATCAAGAAAATTATTCAGAATAAGACCTTAATCTAACTTTAATACATTGTGACGGATTCTAGTTTAAAAAACGGTAAGGTTTAGTGAGAAATACGTATTTTCATTTGGTATGAATATGTTTTATATAAAATAAAACATTTCCTACTAATACATAATTTATTGGAAAAGCACTTACTTGTTTACCGCAACGCTTGCATCAAACATCATGTGAACAATTGAATATTTGGCTTATAAGCTAAACTTGTAATATTGCAACAAATCATTGCCTGATAATAATAACACGGGGAGGAAGAGACCATAAAAAGTTTCGTGAAAGGTTTGACGTATAGTAACACAAATTAACTTTTTTTTTCCTATTCCATATAAATAATAAGTTTAAGGGTTTTGTGCCACTCCTCAGCACTACATAGCTGTTCTTCTGTTTATATAAATTATGTCACGCGTAAATACCAGAGTGAAATCAGTGGTTCTCAACAAGTTTTCTATTAAAAAAAAAAGCATATTTATCTTTTTCCTTTTTCTAATCCCCAATTTTCGCAAAAGAGGAACTATTAATTACCCGCTTTACACAGTAACTTGTATCGTTCTTTAAAGTATATGTATTGTAATAGAATGAGTAGGGGCAAAGATGTTAAAACATCAAAGAAAAAGTTAGTAAAATTGATTTAAAAAAAATAAATTATAAGTTGAATATGTGTCACCAATAGGAGTACAGTAGATGGTTGAAACTGAGAAAGAAAAGATAAAATAGAGAAAAAATCAGTACCTATATGATCAATATATTCAATAAAGGAAAACTATTTATAACAAGGAGTAGAAGAAAACAGTCTCAAGAAATAAATTAATTGACGATTACGAACAATAGAAACTTAAGTAAGTCCAATAACAAAACAAGGTTAACTGTTATAGAGTATTACCCAGTATCGAGTCCACACAGATCTAATCTAAGTCACCGACAGGGAATAGTAATACAGAAATATCAGCAAGGAGACAAACAACAAGGAGTTATATGACAGATGACAAGTCAGGAACAGAAGTTGTGCTAACAGGTACAGGAAAGAAATAGAGGAGATAAAGGACCAAGAAGAAAAGAAATTAGTGTATTAGACAGTGGTAAAGAGGTGTAAACCCCTAATATAATACAGACTTGTGTTAAATTTAGTATTTAAATCCAAATCTTGGATACTGTTATTTAGTTAGTTAGAGTAGAGGAAGTGGCGTTCTATTGATAGAAGATTGATAAATAGTAAAATAAATTAAGTGTTAGCCAATCACATAATTTTTATTTTAATTTGAAATATAGTGAATCCGAATAATTAAATGAATTAGAAATTATTTTTACGAGAAATAGAATAACTGTGTTCAGTTAAAATTCAAATATAATTTTTTGTCTTTTCTTTCTCAAGATTAAGTATCTAAATTCATTAATCAGTATAACATTTTAAAATCCAAATACTAATCTTCTCAGAACCTTACCCTGAGGTAAGACTACCCATATTAGATTAAAATTAGCTTGAATCTTAAATGATTTTTTTTTCTCAAACAAAGACTTTCTCTATAACAAAAAAAAAAAGAAAATTTGAATTAAATTACAAACTATAAGTTCATGTGAGTTGGCGCCCAGACAATAAAGAAGAAAAATAGGATCCAAAGAAGAAGAAGCGAAACAACAGAATAAGTAAATACAGGTAAGAAAATTACCATCTCACAAGAATTTATAACAGTATATAATGCACTAGCACATAGCAATAATAGTAATTCAAAGTAGGAAAGATTTGTCCAGCAAAGGGAAAACAAATTAAAAACGATGACGTAAATAATTGGAACAATAAGTTACAGAGGCCAAATTTATACAAATTTAGACGTAAAGCAAAATATACAAACACATTCAAGTTATAGAACACATACAAAAAGAAAATTTGACAGTGAATCTTTAATATAAAAAAGAAATACATAAGCCTGTTACAAAAGTAACTCGTTTCTAAGACATACAATTTCACAGGTTTGATAAAAATATATAAGAATAAGTAGCAACTAAAGAGGATTTTTTTAATAGATATTTAATGAAAGATAAATAAATAGTTAAAATTACAAACAAAATTATTACTTTAGTATGTAATTGTTATTATTTTATTATAGTTATTCTGCATATAATCGTTTTTGCTGCATAGAAAACTTATCAAGTGTGGACAGTAAAAGTAAAAATTAAATAAAATGCATTTCCAAACGTCATTAAAAATTCCATAAAAGTATAAGTTCGATATTTTCTTGAATTTCATATTCCCGGTATACTTGTTTTTCTCTTATTGTGTTTCTCAGATAATCCATGCTTTCTTGGACTTGATATGACTTCATCCATTGAATATATTCTCTTTCCTTGTTTATTTCAATGTTCCAGTACAATATACACTTAAGAATCACTCCGTTCTTTCTTGTAGAAATTCTTGTGCATTATATTTAAAAAAAGGAAATATAAAAAACACCGATTTTTATCTCCTAAGTCGTTAAATTAGTTCACGCATGTAAAGAATTCACGGTGGTAGTGGCGTCACAAGGCCAGTTGGTATGTTCCGTGGAATGGTATAATTATTATAATGTTTAACAATTTATTTCCTCTTCCAAATGCAAACACCGTAACTGTATAAAAGTATTTCAAACGTTTTGTAGTTCCCCAAAACACATTTTCACTCGCGTAAGGTAATTATAGTTGAGCATTCTATCCGTTCAATAACCACATCCGACGGAAGCTAGAGAAAAGATCGTACACTGATGTTAGCGATGCACTTTCTAAAATACCAATCATTTTTTTTGCATAGCAGTAAGTGAATCCAAACACAATCACGTCACTTGTATGTCTTCGCTATGTTTAGCTCAATCATCTTAAAATATTGAAATAATAATAATGGTAATAATAGGAAACTATTTTTTATCTTATTATGTTAAACTAAAAAGGCAACATATCGAAAACTGCTGGAAACGAGGGAATAAGAGGTGGTACTATCACAAAAGCGCTTCATGTACATACGTTCTGCGTCTGCGTTATTTTGTCCACATTCACCGTAATCGTGGTTACTATAATTATTATTCGTAGCCGTAATAAAATACAGTTTTACCCACAATATGCCAGTACTGAAGTACTAAAGTTTTAAATGCAAATAAACAATTAAACGCAACATCTCTTAGTAAAAAACATTTTTTAGTAAATTTTATAGTAAATCCTCAAAATCATGTACCTACTGTATAGTATAAATTTGACATAATCCTACTTTCCCTAACGCAGTATTAAATTGCATTTTAGAAACATGCATGGCGACTATATAGGATGTGAGAAATACGTTTTTGGTTGTCAATAACCCTATTCCAAGCCATTTACCCCGAATGCATTATTGCATTATCGCGATGTAAAATTATTATATTACATTATGAAGTTCAACGGCTTAAAACTGACGAATAATCAATATTTATGCACATTGTTCTCAGTTGATGGCAACAATTAGTCATTAAATTCATTATTTGGTCAATGCCGCCTGCAGTTGCTATAGAGACCGAGTTGTTGTCGCAAGTAGGTGTTTGAAAAAATTGTTTAATCAGGGGTTCTACAGGAAACGATACGAACACCTGAAGTCTATTTTCGCGTGATTCATCCGTTCGAGGAACGTAATTGTTTTTAGCGGGTGTTAGTCATTTGTAAGTGGAAATTTTAATTTTCTGTTGCCAATACTAAAAATGGTTCTACGATATTACTCATTTGCTACCAGCAATGTTATATTGAGTTATACAAGGTTTTGAACAAACCAAAATTGCATTTGTAATTAGTTTACGTTACTTGGAACTTGCTAGATGAATATACATATATGTAAAAAACAAATGTACAGCACGGAAAATTATCCCAATACACTTTTTTCGAGAACCATTTTTTTTTATTATAGATTTAGTCCATTTAGTAATGACTCTAAGGTAGAAATTTTTATTGATGTCAGTTAGTTTTCAACATATACAGGGTACGAGGGAAGTTAAGTTTTTCCTCAAAATTAGAAACACCCATAAAAGAAAAAAGAAAAAGCAAACAAGAATATCAATATTGTTTATTTTCGCACCTTTTCCTAATATCGACATGAATGATATTTATAGATGTCGCTTCATATATCTCGGAGCATGTTTTCAACATCATTAAGGGAGAAGATATCAACCTCATGTAAGTTCTTTGTATGACACTAATTTTTGTATTTTTATTACTGCAAGGTATAGTTCAGGTTTTCAAATTTTTAGACTGAACTAGTAAGTTAATCACAGAGACAATGACATGAAGCAAACGAATTGTTCAGAAAACAC